CCCTGAAACAAGCCCTAAATTAAAAGCAAGCCCCCAATTAAGTGCTTTAGAATCGACTTGGTCTCTTCCCTGGTGTGTGTAGCAATAGAACAATGACTAAGACACTATGTATAAATAGCCATGAGCTACTTTGAGGGAAATGGGTGTGAGGTGGTTATACTGAACAGTGGTTGTTATGGTGTCTCAGGCCTGTCACATGAGCCTGGCTTCTGCTTTATGAGGTTCTGGTATTGGGAGTTCGCTCAGGCCAGCACTGGGCTGGGGTGTCTGTTTTAGCTTGGCTCAGCTGCTACAACAGAATGCCTGAGGCTGTGTGATTTGTGAAGAACATACACTTACTCCTCATAGTTCTGGAGTTTCAAGATGCAGCCACTGATGAATCTGGTGGCTGGTGAGTGCCCAGGCATTGCTTACAGGGTGGCACTTGGTCACTGTGCCCTCTAGAGAGGTCGATTGCTGTGTTCTTGCCTGACACAAGAGACAGAAGGGGAAAAGAGCCTAGCTAGCTTCCCTGCCCTCCTGTAATGTCACTACCCACATATGTGACTGTTGTGCCCATATGACTTAATCGCCCCTAAAGGCCCCAGTGTTGCAGAAACTGTGCACCAACCTGTAATCCAGAATTCAGGAGGAAGATGTTGTGGGAGCTTGATCCTTTCAGCCAATGACATTTGGGGGTGTCTTGCCATGGGCATGATTTTCTCTGATATGTGACCAGATAAGAACTGAGGTGTGTGCGTGGTGGGGTCTCTCTCTCTCTCTCTCTCACTTGGACATGGAAGTCTTCCTGACATACTGTTGGGTAACCTGGTCTGGAGCTTTCCCCATCCTTCTCTGGTGGACGAAGAGGTCAATGGTATTGCTTCCCACTGTATTTGTGAGCGTGTATTCCCTATTTCATTCCTTAATAAATAAGTCTTCTCAAGCATCCGTAAATTTCTCACAATAGGTAGTGGCAAGTGGACCGAAATTGAAGGTGATCTTCAGCTCCAAGGTAAATTTGAGGACAGTGTGAGCTACAGGAGACCATGTATGAAAACAAAACTAATCAGCCCTGAAAAGAAGGGGGGGCACTGGAAAGACAGTTCAGCATTTAAGAGCACACACTGCTTCCAGTGGGCATGAGTCTAGTTCCCAGAATTATAACCACATTTAATTATAGCTACAGGGAACCCAACACTCCCTTCTGGACACACACACACATGAATAAATAAAATTTAAAAAAAATTCATGGCATGTTAGGATACAAAGAGGGTTATAATATACTGTCTTTTTTTTTTTTAAAGCCAGGTGTAGTGGTGCACACCTTTATTCCCAGCACTCAGGAGGCAGAGGCAGGTGGATCTCTGTGAGTTTGAGGCCAGTCTACAGAGATAAGGGGAGTCAGAGCTACATAGGAGACCATGTCCTCTGCCATGTCACAGGAGCAGCAGGTGACAACTAACTTGAGGGGATCGGCCCACCAGGAAACAAAACCCTGATGGATGAATCTCGGATAAGCAGAGCCATGGGAGCCTTAGCCCCAGAATGTTTCTTGCTACTGCCATTTTTCTCTGGTATCTGGCATGGTGTGGATGGGCATGGGGAGAACCCCACTACCCTTGATGAAGTATGTTCATCTCTTAAACATCCTGTTCTACTGGACATTTTTACCTGTGGGTTATTACGAAGATGATTTTCTCCTAAGCTGTACTGTTTAACTGAATGATTTTATATAATAATAGTGTTAGTTTAAATAGGATTTTGGGCCTGGAGGGATGGCTCAGTTGTTAAAGGCTAGGCTCACAACCAAAAATATGAGTTCAGTTCCCAGCACCCACGACTGTCTCTCCAGGTACCATAAAATTAAAAAAAAATAGGATTTTGATGATTATATTTAATAAATATAGTAAGGGATTATGATAGAAGTTATTTAATGGAAAAAGTAAGGATAGGATAAATGTTGCCCCTGCCTCTGATAAAGCAGAAGATAAAACACAAAACAAGGAAGTGTCACACAGCTAGAACACATGAGTTTGTATTCAGGAGCCACATAGACTGTGGTTTAGATCAGTGAGTAGGAAAAACAATTGAGTCCCAGTAGCCCAGCTAGCTTAAATTCTTTTAACCTTAATGTTGGGAGATGTGTTCAGAGTTTCAGAGTGCATCGTAGCTGAAACAAAGCTTTAAAAATAACTTACGGTTAGATTAAGATTTTTTTGTCAAATAGTTTTGAGGTGAAAAAACCAAGAAGACAACCTAAAGTTTTAGGAAGGCACATAGCTGAGTGAGGGACTCATTAAGATCAGGGACAAAAACAAACCCTGACATACCTGCCTTGCTAGGATTGGTTGGCGATCAAAGATGATGATTAATTCTTTGTACCCATTTCCTGATATAAAAACTGTTGAGTGGGTATGTACTCTAAAGATTTAAAGTAGAGCTGATTGATTGGTTTTCATATGTAGAAGTTTAGGTTTGAGATTCCTCTAAGACTCCTTGTAAGATTACTTTTCAAGATAACTAATAGAGTGGTTGATTCTTGAGCCAGGTAGCGGTGGCACATGCCTTTAATCCCAGTACCTCGGAGGCAGAGGCAGGCGATCTCCAGGACTGTTACAGAGAAACCCTGTCTCGAAAAACCGAAAAGAAAGTTTATTGCTCCTTTCCTGGTATGTAGCAATGGAGCTGCGGGCAGGCCTGCTTTTCGCCTCACCCGGCTCCCGCACGGCTAGCTTAGCCCTGGAAATAACAACACACAAATTGTATTCATTTAAATACTGCCTGGCCCATTATCTCTAGAGAGTTAGTTACTGGCTAACCCTCACATCTTGGTTAACCAATTTCTAATAATCTGTGTAGCACCATGAGGTGGTGGCTTACCGGAAAAGATTCAGCATGTCTGACCTGGTGGCTGGCTCCATGGCTTCTGCCTCATAGCCCTCATCCCAGCATTCGATTCTGTTTACTCCGCCTACCTAATTTTCTGTCCTATCAAGGGGCCAAGGCAGTCTCTTTATTGACCAATGAAAATAACACAATAGACAGATAACCCTCCTCCATCACTGGTAACCGTAATATACAGATATACAGCCTGGCAGTAAAAGAGCAGACTGAGAAAAAGAACCTGCTGCTTACAGTCTTATTCATCTATAGCACATTACTTAGATGTGAATGTATGTGTGAGTTCTTGGGATGACTTTGTTTTAATCATGTAAGGGAAATGGAAAACATGTTCGTTACCTGTATCCACTATAATAATTCACTTGAAAAATAGAATGTAACCACATTGTAATTTTTATATTGCTTGAAAGATTTTTGATGGGGTATATAAGCTGTAAGGTAAAAAAAAATTAAGTCAGTTAGAAGGAAATCATTAAGAATGAAAGGAGAAAAACACCAGGAAAGATGCAGAAGGGAAGTGAGAAGATAGACAGAAGGGAAACATCAGAAGAAGAGAGCAGAACAAGTAGCCGATAGAATAACAAAATGAAGAACTAAGCCTTGGCCCTCAGAGAAGTCCCTGTGTGTCTGTTTGTCTTGGTTCACTGACTCCGTGGATCCCCATTGAGCCCAGTGCTGCTGTTGGAGGCTGGTCCTTATGGCAGTGGTACCTGTCTCAAAAAAAAACAAAAAAACAACCAAAGCAAAAAAACAAAACAAAACAAAACCCTAAACATACATACATACATATCCTCTATTTTTTAAAGTGGACAGCCCTCAGTCTCCTCAATTGTATGTAGATGGAGACACATCAGTTGTATAAATTAGGAGTCCCTGATGTCAACTAGGCAGGATCTGGGATCACTTGGAAGGCTCAATGACAGACTGTCTAGATTAGTTAGCCTGTGAGCTTGTTTGTGAAATAGTTTGCTAATTAAATCAGTTAAGTAAGAGGGGAGGACCTACCCTGAACTGGATGGAACCATTTTGTGGACTAGGTCCCAGGCTGAATGAAAACGAGGTAGCATGCTTGCTGTTTTTTGCCTGGGGTGCAATATGAACAGCTGTCTCTGCATCCCCCCAAATGATGGACTGGAACCTAGAATTTTCTCTCCTAGGAGCTTTTGTCAGGGTATTCTATCATGGCTGAAGTGTCATGGACATAACAAGTCCTTCTGCCCTTTCCCTAGGTTGGGTTTCATTACAATAGCATGGTGTGGGAGAATTGTCTGTATTCTGTCAATCATATTTTAATAAAACGCTGATTGGCCAGGCAGGCTGTATAGGCGGGAAAGCCAGACAGGAAGTAGAGGTGGAGCAAAGAGACTGGGAGTATTCTGGGAAGCAGGAAGCTTCCAGTTCTGCCCAGACCACTGGAGAGGAAAGATGTAAGCTTGCCCAGCTGGAAAAGGTACTGAGCCATGTGCTAATGTAGATAAGGATAATGGGGTAACATAAGTTATAAGAATTAATAAGTAGCCTGACCTAATGGGCCAATCAGCTTTATAACTCATAGAGATCTCTGTGTGATTGATTTTTCCTTGGGGTGTGCCGGTTGTGGGATACTGGGTGGGACAGAAACCCCAACAAGCGGGCCCTCATGCTACAATAGCACAGCTCTCTCTACAGGTTATACCCTCTGCCCACTTCCCCTCACTTCTCCTAGTCTTACCTGCAGCTCACCGTAGTGTGCCCAAGCTATGTCTGCCTGTCTCCATTTCCATTCTCTTACCTCTATTGCCATTGGCCCAGTTCTCTCCAGCATTTCTTGCGCTTAGCCCTTGCCTCCCAAACAGCACCTTAGCACTCTTCCCACAGCCTCTCACCAGGACCTTCCTTCCCATCCGCTGAAGGGAGTGTCCTGCCAGCTTTCAAATAGAGCCAAAGCAGGTAGGAAGCCATTCTCAGAGGCTCAGTATTGTTATGTGGTTGTCCTGTAGGGGAGGAGCCACAGATGTGAAATGGGAGTCAGAGGGTGGGGTGCAGGGCTTTACATGAATGTCATGGAATTTATCAAGTTTTAGTGGAGAATTTAAAATCCACGCAAGTCGAACTATACTGAGAACAAAACTGTAAAATGAGAATGAAGTTTCCCTGGACACAAGACTGAAAGAAGCGGCCTCTGAGCCTTTAGTTTTGAGAGGTGGCATTAGTGGCGGTGTGGGCTGATGGGAGTGACACACTGAGAAGCAGACGCTGTGGTGTAGAGAGGGAGACTCTAGAATCACATCTTTACACAGGTGACAGGATCCAAACCACAAATGGCTTCTGATTGGCCTATAAACATTTTACTGTAAGAGAAAGGAGGGCAAAGCCTGAGGGGACAGAGGCAGATTAAATGATGGGGTTTGTGGTCAATCCGGTGGCTGGATTGCTCATATTCTTTTTGAAGTGTGGGCTGTAGAAGGAATGGAGGCTCTCCTGTTAATTGAGACACTGGCCAGGACACCCTTGTTTCCAGTTCCCTTTTCCCATGGATTTTTATTCCCTCTGAGAAATACAATAGAATATTTAATTCTTTTTTGTTCCTTGATACATCAAAGAACACTTAAGTATATGGTCACAAACAATTAAAAACAACTGTTTTAATTGACATTTTATAAGACCTCCAAGTATATTACAAATTTAAGGAGGAAAGATGTAACTATCATAAAACCATATATCATTGGTTCAACAAGTATTTACGAGCTGGGCATGACAGTACACACCTGTAGTACTAGCACCTGGGAAGATGAGGCAGGAGGATTCAAAGCTTAAGACCAACCTGGCCTACACAAGAAGGTTCTGTCTCAAAACAAAGTTCCCTGGTGTCAGACTGTTTTCTAACACTGTGGTAGAGTGTATTAACAAATAGGAGAGAGCTATGGACTGTATAAAAAGGTTACAGATGCTATGAAGTGAACAGGGGAGATTTGAGAGTGAGAAGCAGGAAGGTTCTAATCATGGCTGCTAGGAATCAAACTTGGGTCATCTGGAAGAACAGTGCTCTTAACCACTGAGATATCTCTCCAGTCCAAGGGCTGTAATTTTAAGGCCGGTCAGGGTACGTGGAAGAGGTAACCGATGAGTGACATTCTGAGGGCCATGCAGTCACCTAGAGAATGCAGAGAACAAACCCAGGGCTCATGCAATTTGAACAGTGCTGAGACAAACTCAAGTATCAAGGGAAATGCTTTTCTGTTCCCACATATTATAAAGGAATCAAATGACCAAGGCAGAGAATCGCCTGTCTGAACTGTCCCAATGTGATTATCCTGGATGTCCCATCTCCCCTGAAAACAAAACCTTCCAAAAAGTAGGCCAGAGGTTAAGAGAGGATTGGGCGGGGGGGAGGCATGAGAGGGGGATATTATGGAAAGCTTAAATTAATAGATGGGGCTTTAATAAATACCATGGCCAATTTAGGGGAACTTTCCTGGTGGGCACTGAGGGAAAGCTGACTTGGCTCAAGGTTCCCTCAAACACTGGCTTCTGCTTCTTATATAACTAAATGGCTGAATGTGCTGGTCTCTTCCCCCTCCCATCTTCATGTTTTTATATTCCCTAGTTCTTTACATACCAGTCACCTCTGAGCACACACATCACTGGTTTCTGCCGCACCTTTCACAGCTAATTACCCAAAGTGCTCCATGAAGTCACCAGTGCTGTCACTGCTGCAACGGCAACTGCGGAGTACCATGCAACAGCGACCATGGATGCGCCCCAGGAGCTCTCTCCCACTTTGCTGACACTTCTGTGGAGAGCCACAGGGTGGCTGGCACTGCCTTGATGTGGCAGAGACTACACTGAGTTCTCCACTGGATGGAATAATCCTGCACCTCCTCTTCAAGACCTGTTTTGAAGACTGCAGAAAGAGACACTGTCTCAAAAACCAACAACAAAAACAAATTTAAAGGAACCCTTTTGTGTCCTGAGTTAACTGTTCAGACCTGCCCTGATTTGCTGATGTTGAGAAGGTTGTCTCAGTAATGTTCTATTGCTGTATATCCCATGACTAAGGCAACTCATAAAAGAAAACATTTAAATAGGGGCTGGCATACAGTTTCAGAGGCTCAGTCTGTTATCATGGCAGGGACCATGGCTATACACAGGCAGAATGGTGCTGGGGAAGTAGCTGAGAGTTCTACATCCTGATCCCTAGACAGCAGGGAGAGAGACTGGGCCTGCCATGCAAGGCCACACCCCCTAATCCTCCTCCAATAAGGCCATTCTTAGATGACTAAGTATTTAAATATATGAGCCTGTGGAGGCCATTCTTATTCAGACCACCAGTTTTTGTTTTTCCATTATTGTGGTGGTTTGGACAAACATGTCCTTCTATTTAACTTTCTCTTTCAGGGGCTGTAACTGAGGTAAAGTTAGGCATGGAGGATCTCTCTGACTCTCCCCTTCTCAGGTCTGACTCCAGGTGGTGAGCACTTCTGGTCCTTTAAAGTTCCCAGAGTTTGCAGGCAGTCTCTCTCACCTCTTCTCGGCACACATTTCATCTGACCTGAACTCACTGGGGTTAAGTTAAGCTGTGACTTCCACTCCATTCACCAATTCCTAGGGGCCTTTATTCCCTATGTGGCTCAGAGGCTCCAAACATCCTGGTGGCCTCTTAGCCCCTGTGGTGATTTGAATGAGAATAGCCCCCATAGGCTCACGGGTTTGAATGTGTTGTCCCAGTTGGTGGAACTGTTTGCTAAGGAACAGGTGTGGCCTTGTTGGAGGAGATATGTCATTTGGGGTGGGCTTTGCACTTTCAAAAGCCTACGCCAGCCATGCCATTAGCTAACTCTCTACCTGGTCTTTTTGGCACAGCACTGTAAGCTCTCAGGTACTGCACTAGCAACATGCCTACCTCATTCTCCCTGACGTGATGGTCATGAACACACGCTCTGAAATTGTAAACAAGCCTACAAACTAAATGCTTTGACAGCCACTGAAAAATAACTAAGGCCCTGATAAAGGATTGTGTCTGGAGTGTCTCCTGAGTTTGTTTCACACTTGCCAGCTGAAGTTGCCAGAAATATACCATGCGAGATTTTGTGGAGTGGAAACAGCAGAAATGCTAGGTGATTTCTAAGTCTGGATCCATTACATTACGAGAAAAAAAAAAAATCCCAGAACTGAGCCTGGGAGATGGTTGTGATGCAAGCCAGAGTTCAAGTCCAAAACCCACATAAGGGTAGGAGAGAAATAATTCCCAGTTGTCCTCCGACTGGCCTCCACAACTGTGCACCGGCAATTATATACACACACACAGACACACACACACCACGTGCGCGCGCTCACCCTGAGTAAAGTGTAAAAGAATACAACTCCAGAACTTTCATTGTTTATTGCAGACGATGGGGTAGATGTTCCAGTCTGTGTTCCTCTTTCTATCTGCTTTGTTTTGTGACAAGGTGTTTACTCTGCAGCCCGCCCAGACTTGCCTAGAATTCACAACATAGCCCAGGCTGCTTTCTAACTCCCCACAATTCTCCCACATGCTGGGATTACAGCGTGAGGTGTCACTCCTCGGTTTTCATTTTATTTATTTATTTTTTTTTGGTCGCTATCCACAGCCCTTTCTTTCTGTCAAAAGCCACACATGCAGGAAGTTTACGTCCCTCACGTCACCGCTACTTACCGAGGATCGGTCCCTCAAAGCAACCACTGCAGGGTAAACGTATCTGGAAGGGGTAGGTCCGCAAGGCTCTCGCGGGAGCCCCGAGGCCCCACCGCCGGCCACGTGATCCCGCCGACCGCAGGCCCCGCCCCTGGCCGCTTAGAGGCCACGTCGATGGTGGCGGGGCGGGACCACGGCTGGCGCGCGTGCGTGCCC